GCTATCACTCTCATTGGCGTCGGAAAATTGAACATTAGTGGAATGACACTTTGTGCCGGCCTCTCAACATGTAAGGAAACGTAAAGTTTATACTATTTTAAATTACATTTTTCCTTTTCTTTATATTTTATTTTAAGTCTCTTTGACTTTATCTAACATTAATTCTTTCATTTTCATTTTTTCTCTTTCCTCTCTCTTCTGTTTCTTGTGGAATAACCCTAAATATTAAAGTATGATATTCCACCTGGTAGTGATCAGTGCGACTTATACTAAGTTAGAACTTAGTGTCGTCAGTGCCATGTCTATATGCATATGCTACCCCACTGAATACAATACTCAATAATGAACTCTTTAACCGGGAATATATGAATATAATCTCCATCTGTATTATCTCATGGATTGGATGGGCTCTCAGGTCTTCTTCGACTGTCGTCCGAGAGCAGGTAACTTGAACAAAATTACCGCTTGGCAGTCATGGATAAAACGCAAAATTCTACGAATCTCAATGATTATGAACAAATTTTCATACCGGATCGGCCGTCACCCAGGTCAACAAGGGCCGCATACCTCAGAGAGGAATTAGTCTGGGCCCGAAAAATCTGTCAAAAGCGAAGAGACACTTGGTCACTAAACCCAAACTATTCTCAACCTTGAGCCAAGTGACTCAATGCCAAATCAACTAAGAAAAAGAAAACGAACGAAATGGTCTCGCGAAGAGTATCAACAAGTCATGATATAATTCTTCACTGTACTCGAAAATCCAGCAAAGAACACCACGAATCAAACATACCAAATATGAAGAAATATGGTAGGAAATGAAATAAGACATCATCTCAACTCAAACATGCTTGCCAATGTCCGCAGCGACATCGTGAGAAACAAAAAAACTAAAATAAATGAGATACGAAATAATAACCTCCCAGGAAATCAAATCGAAGAATCTACCTGTGACATAATCTGCAGTTATCCAAACGATATCACTGAAGATGACTTCAACTGCATTAAGGTAAAATTCCTTGAAAACTACAGAGGTGAAATCACCGAAGTGAAAACCACGTCATCCAAGTACTCAGCAGAGTAACTCTTACACAATTGTCAGACAGAGACCAGCTCTAAAAAATTCATATGACGAAGTCCAATAAGCACATTGTGCAAATATACAACGCTGCACTGGAAACACTGTTAACAAGCCACTGGGAAACAGAAGCTTGGGATCAAGACAATGAAAAAAATTAACAAAAACAGCCAGCTTGGAAGACAAAACTGATGCGAGAAATAAAGAAAACCAGATGTGAGATTTTTATATTAGATGAGCTCACTCGAAAACCAAATATCTCAACATGCAAGTGCAAGTAGATGAAGCGGAAATATAAAATTAAATCCCTAAATGAAATTCCATCGATCAAGGAAATACTGAAACAGAAACTGTAGTTAATGGCACAGAGAACAAGACGATGCGAAAAAACGTTGTAGGTTCTATCGCCAAAATAAAATTATTCCAAACGGACCTTGAGAAATTTTACAGGGAAAAGCACCTATACATGTCGAAAAGCCACCATCTATTGACAATGTGCAGACATTTTGGGAGAATATTTGGAGCAGTCCTAAGGAATATAACCCAAATACAGAATGGATCTAACGTGAAGAAGAATGAATGCTGGATAAACCTCTTCAAGAGTGGGAAAATTTAACCACAAATAATGTTAGGCAAGCTCTAATGAAATCCCCAAAATGGAAATCCTTAGGGAATGACAAGGTGCCCAATTTCTGGCTCTATCATCTTTCATTAATGCGTAAAACCGTTGCAAAAACTCTGTCAATGCTTGTAAATAAACCCGATGAAATCCCGGAATGGATCACTGAATGTATTACATATCTTATGCCAAAAACGAGTGAAACAGATCCCAAAACTATAGGCCAATAACATGTCTCCCCACCACGTAAAAGTTGATCACGTCTGTCCTGACGAACCGTACTTACTCCTTTTTCGAAGCAAACAACATTCTTCCGCTGGAACAGAAGGGATGCAGGAGAGGTTCATATGGCTGCAAAGATCAACTACTGATAAATAAAATGATGCTGAAGAATTGCAGGAGACGACGTAGAAATCTTAGCGCAGCGTGGATTGATTATCGTAAAGCCTTTGATAGTGTTCCACATTCTTGGATCCTTAAGACTTTGGAAATGTACAGCCCCACATGGGAATGTGGAACAGCACACTGCACTGCCATCTCCAAACGTCTGAATATCTGACGTAGAATCTTTCACCCCACTTCTGTTTTGTTTGTCCTTAATCGCTCGCCCCTATGCATGAACTAAAAAACAGTAGCTATGATTACAAACTAGACAAAAAAAGATACAATCACCTACTCGGATGATCTCAAACTCTTTGCCAAAGACGACAATAAGTTGAAAGGCCTCTTCTGTATTGTAAAATGTTTCAGTAACGACATACATATGGATTTCGGATTAGATAAATTTGCAAAAGTAACATTCAAGAAAGGGAGGATTACAGAAACACTCTCAATAGATTTAGATTTTGTCAGAAAGATTAGGGAACAGGAACAAGATAAAGCCTAGGAATTAGGATTATTACAGGCGTGTTCGTCTGGTACTGAATACCGAGCTGGATTAAAAAAAAAACCAGAATATCAGCCATAAAAACATTGGTTGTCCCTGTGGTGCAATACAGCTTTAACATCCTTAATTGGACCATAGCTGACATTAAGCGAATGGACGCCAAAACGAGAAAGCTTCTTACTTGCTACCCCATGCATCATCCCAAAGCTGATGTTGATCGTTGTATGTTCTCAGATCCGAAGGAGGCAGAGGATTAGTTCAACTAGAACTGTCCTACAAAACTACAATTGGCCTTCAAAGATACCTGGAAACTACAGAAGACGGGATGATGATGTGTCAAAGAACATAAAAGTAGTAAGCGTCTTTATTCCGTAATAAAAGAAGCCAACAAATTCAAAATAGAGTTTCAAATGGGTGCAGAAATGCAAGTAAAGCACAATACACCGACTGAAGCTGCAAAATACTTAAAAAAAGAAAGCAAAAGCAAATGCAACCGACCAGATAAAGAAACAATGGCAAGATAAACCGCTTCATAGCCAATAATCTGCCCGTACCAAACAGGCTGCTGTACACAAGCGCCATACCAATCAGTGGCTACGTAGTGCAGGTTGAAAGCTGAAACTGAAGGTTTTATCCTTGCTGCACATGACCAATGATTGTTAACTAGAAATTATCAAGCACATATACTAAAATATTGTGTTAGCCCAAAATGCAGATTCTGTGATAAATATCCAGAAACGATTGATCATCTTGTATCAGGTGACACGTTATTGGCACCCACTGAATATAAAACCCGGCATGACAGTGTGGGCCAATATCTGCAGAAAAATCTGCAACTTCTATGGGAAGAAAACTGAAAGAAATTAGTATGAACATCACCCAGACCCGGTTACGGAGATAGGACCTGTTACAATTCTATGAGACTACACAATACATACAGACAGAACAATCAAAGCCAACCGCCCAGACATTGTTATTAGAGACCGCAAACAAAAACAAATGCCTCCTTATTGATATGGCAGTCCCTGCAGAATGCGATGTATCTTTGAAGATCATCAAAAAGCCAGCAAAAATCGAAATCTAAAAAATGTGGCACATGGCACACAACAATCCCTGTTGTAATTGAAGCCCTCGGATTGTTTGTAAAAGATTCCAACAGACTCAGTGAAGGCATTCCTGGAAGCCCATGCCTTAAAGAAATACAAAAAAAAATTGTTCTCAAGAGTACAGCCCACACCTTACCAAGGGCTTTATCTATGTAAAATATTTTTTTTTAATTGGTCAGTGGAAAGTCATGATGCCATTTCTAACCTCAGGTATCTGGGCGGGACCCGGAAAGAAAGGAGTATAGAGTATATATCAAAGGAAATAAAACAACAACAACAACAACAACAACAACAATAATAATAATATACTACTACTACCTCTACTACTACTACTACTACCTCTACTACTACTACTAATACCTGTCAGACATTTAACTGAGAAGATAAAATGCAAGATCTGAGCTGAATATTGACTTTTAATTTCTTTTGTCCTTCCATTTGTTTTTAATTATTTTTCGATTAGAGACTTAAGAGTAAGAAGCCAAATTCTATTAATGGCAATTGATTAATGATTCATTTGGTGTTTTTACGTCTTTCACCGCCTCGGGTTTTTTTTTATAGCAGTGTAGTGATCATTTCTTAATGGAGAAGTTTATTTAGTGACTCTTTTTTTTTTTTCAAAAGTCCGCTCATCGCATGACATCGGTAGAAATAGTTTGTATAATCGCGAATATCGAATCAACTAAAATAGCACAATTATCTTATATGAAAAAGAAGGAGACGGCGTGCGAGCAGGCGCGCACGCGCGCACACACACACACACACACACATATATATATATATATATATAATTTAATCATTTTATCCAAGCAAGGCAAAAAAGCCACTAAGACGCAAGGGGGTTACTGAGTGTGAAAGAAAAAAATATTAAGGAGTGAGAACAATAACGGGAATCGCAGACAGATGATATCGATTGACATTGCATTTAAATTATTGAGCATCAAAGTTAACTGGGAAGAATGAAGCCGGAAGAGAATTCCACGGGCAAGAAGTGCGAGAGAAGAAACTCGTTATATCTTCTCTAGTCATTTGGATTGTAAAATGATGAGACCTTGTCACCAATGTGCGCTTAATGTCTTCGGTATCATAGATAAAGTTTCATTAGAACACTTAACATGAAAAGATTTACAGAAAAGGCACAAGGAAGATATATGACAACATTTTAAAAATAGAAAAATTAATAGTGGATTCTTTCAAATAAAAAATATCTGAAAACTACAATGAGGACCTGGTAAATAAAACATTCCAACTTTTGATTTTGTGTATTTGAGGCGCGAAGAAATTGCAGGAATCTGAATATTTTTCTTTTTATAGACTGTCCTTTATCTATCTATCTATCTATCTATCTATCTATCTATCTATCTATCTATCTATCTATCTATCTCAGTCTGTTCATATCTATCTATTTCAGTCTGTTCATATCTATCTCAGTCTGTTCATATCTATCTATCTATCTATCTATCTATCTATCTCATTCTGTTCATATCTATCTATCTATCTCAGTCTGTTCATCTATCTCATCTATCTATCTATCTATCTATCATATCTATCTATCTATCTATCTATCTATATCTATCTATCTATCTCAGTCTGTTCATATCTATCTCATCTATCATATCTATCTATCTATCTATCTATCTATCTATCTCAATCTGTATCATATCTATCTCAGTCTCTCATTCATATCTCTGTTCTTATCTATCTATAGCAGTGTTTTCATATTATCTATCTATCTATCTATCTATCTATCTATCTATCTATCTATCTATCTATCTATCTATCTATCCCAGTCTGTTCAGTCAATCTATTAACGTATTTTTCAAGAGCATTTTTTCCCGTATACACTGTCTTCCCTGCCTCCGCTTTGGGTAAATCTGAATGAACAACTGAAATGTCTCTTGTGACTTAATTGTGAAATCGTGCTCGTTTCATGGGTCCACTTCATTTACTCAGATAAAAATAAGAAATTCACTTCCTTAGGCAAATTCTCGGCTTCGTTTTGGACGTAAAATCAACTTTAATCTCATAAAGGCTCAAACTTAGAGAATTAAGAAAATTATTCGACATTAGATTTCTGCACCAAACACGTAATTTATTAAATCAATCCGGGGTCTGTACGAGAAAAGCTCCGTGTCCCATCGACCTTACACAGACCCACTCTATCTCGAACTTTATTTACTTCAACCCTTTTAGAATCATTTCCCGCCTACTCCAATTCTTCTCTACCTCACTTTAGCTGCAAATCTGGAACGGTTTTTTTTTTATAAAAAGAATCAACGAAAATGACTTGAAGTTAAAGCAGAAAATTTCAAAAGAATATAGTATTTCTAAAAGCTGATGAAACTAGTCATTCATTCATTTAATCTATCTATCTATCTATCTATCTATCTATCTATCTATCTATCTATCTATCTATCTATCTATCTATCTATCCCATTCTCAACTAATATCTATCTATCTATCTATCTATCTATCTGTCGCTATTCATTATCTATTTATTCCAGTTTGTACATAATCTATCTATCTATCTATCTATGGCTATTCATGGTCTATCTATGTCAGTCCGTTCATAACCTATCTATCTATCTATCTATCTATCTATCTATCTATCTATCTATCTATCTATCTATCTATCTCAATCTGTTCATATCTGATATCGATCTGTCGCTTACCACGAATGCCTTATCAGACGAGTAATTATTTAATGAACTAACATACTTATCATACAACTCGCCGCCGGCGTCCAATACGTGAATATATTTCGACGACATCTTCATTGCTGACCAGATCTTGTATAATTATTGTGAATTACCAAACATCTTTAATTAACTTTGTTAATATGAAAAGCAATTTCACTTTCATAAACTCTTTGCCAGCCTATCCTTATCTCTTCGCTTGATTTTTCCTCTTTTTTTCTTCTTACGTTTCTTTTTGCCTCAATTTTGACAACATCGTACTTGTTGAGACTCTTCACTTGAAAAAAAGTATAAATTGATGAGAAAATCGTTCAATCAAGAAAAACACCGTCGTCGTCGTCGAAGAGGAAATTTAGATTCAGTTTTTGATTGACAAACAATTTGAAATCCAATTCATAAGTGTCACACTCTGTTGGCTGTTTCATGTAAAAAGTGCACGTCCTGGGTGTGACGATAAACTACATCCGGCAGCACGTCCTCTGATCGGGAGGTTTTGAGGGGGGGAGCGTGGAATCACCTCTTAATTGATAATGTTCCCAGATTCACTCTGACCTGAGGTTGTAGCATCTGTTAAGGTCCTATCTATGGGCAAATAGTTAATCCTCAAAGTGGGGTCAAAACGCGATTAAAGTATAAAAATAGATTTTTATAGTAAAATACCAGCAATACATTTTTGAAAAAAAAAACATTACCAGCAATAGATTTGACTCTCGACAAAAACCCTCTTTATAAAAATACATCAATGAAGCCTGATTTCTTATAAAGAATACATATTCTATTCATACGAACCTATCCAAAAAATCTTAAATAACCCGTTGAGGTTGATATGTCGTAAAAGAAAATATACCAAAATGATAAAAAGTGCGATGCAATGCTGTCAAAGAGTGAATGATCTAGGCTAACCAAGTTCAAATTCTACTTGTAAAATATTGGTATCCTTTTGACGTAAATTTACGACTCATTTTTCATACACAGACTTGTGGCCGTTTCAGTTTAATGGAAGATTTATATAAATTAGAAGTTGTAACATCGGGAATGCGTCCGTCTTTTGAGAAATCATTTCTTCAATTGAATATTAAGCATTCTATCGATTATGGTAGCATTTATTTTAAACGTTATATTTACTGGATATAATGTTTAAAACCATCACCTGGATTCAAAATCACCATCAACGGATTGAACCCGGAGAATTTTGAACAATTTTTATACCTTGGTAGCCTACCAACATCAAATGCATCCACTGAAAAAGACGTCGATAACAGAAGGAGGTTCGATCATACAGCATATGGGAAGCTAGTCAAAAGAGTTTTCCGCAATTCTGGGCTAACACAAACAACCGAGCTCATGGTCTACCGGACTGTTGTAATCTCGACTCCCCCTGTACGCCTATGAGAGCTGGGTATTCTGCCGAAGAGAGCTCAGCAAACTCGAAAGATTCCATCAAATGAAGCTTGGTCAAGTCCTGCGTAACACGTAGCAGGACCGAATCACAAATAACGAAATTCTCCTCCGTGTAAAGATGGAGAACCTAGAAACGATTATGACTGGCAACCGACTTCGATAGTCCGGACACGCTGCATAAATGATAGACATCCGTCTACCGAAAGAAATCCGGAGCGAGCATCTGCCAAGTGACCACGTGGAGCACCACGTCGTTGTGTTAAGGATCAGCTAAAATTGACGGAAATTGTACAAAGAACCAATTGGAGAAGAGCAGTTCACGTAAAAACAACATTCTTTGAAAATACCAGAAGGCAAATGGAAGAGACAAAGAGATCCTAAAGAAAAGCCGGAGCTCTCCATCCCCTGAAATCTTCTTCCCTAGCATTTGGTGGATGAGGACGTCGCTTTACATCCAACATAGAACTGATTTCGCACAGAAGGAAAATGACTACGTGAACCACTATACTAGGCAACGAGTTCCGCCCCCGACGATTTAATGGCTGCATGTGTTTAAGTAGACACCCCTGTTTATTTTTTTAACAGTGTAACTTTATGTCTATCGGCGTGTGCATTTGAGAATCTTATTTCAGAAAAAAAATGTGCTTTCCGGCAGTGTTCTAACCCGCGTCCCTCTTGCAAGGAAAACTGCCGTTAAACCTGACGTTCTTTTAGACAGTCAAGATTTTCTTCAGTCAAACAAAATTCAATTACCCTATTTAAAAAAAAAAAGCATTTGGTTGGATCTTTTGAAGCATATTCATTTTTTTAACTTTCACTTTCGTGTCCGAAATGTAAACACAGTAATCTCTAAGGAATTAATGGATTTGGAATCATTGAGATAATCTTATATAATCGCTATAATTGCCCAATTTTTCTCTAAATAATATTAGACACAAAGTAGTGGCTTGTCTGGTACCAGCAATAAGGAAGACTATGTAATATATTGTATGGCTAATAATAATGATAAGGAATTATCTTCAATAAATTTCTCCTTTTATCTATTCCGTGACGAATGACATTTGACCTTTTGAATAAAAACATGTCTGACGATTTTATTAGATGCTCCTAAAACACATTTACCACATCGATGCTTGAACATTTCTTGCTTCAAATGAACTGAGAGGGTGACGGTTCAGAAAACCTAGCAAGGGAAAAAATTACCCTTCCATACAGACTAATAGATGATGATGATGATGATGATGATGACGCTGTCGGGTCAATTCTTTTGCCTGGTTTAAATCTCCTTGCAAGACTAATTTAGTTCCTTTTCATAATGAATTTCTTTTATTTTTTTCTTTCCTTTCTTGTTCATTGCTCCTTTATCTACGCTGTCTAACAAACAACAAAGACGAAGGAATTGGTCCGAATCAGCCACAGATAATAAGGTTTTTTCCTTTACGATGTTCTGTGAGCAAACAGTTCGTAGACGGACAGACAATAAATTGAGCAAAGTACACAGAAATAGAAAGGTTTATAAAACAAACATACATCTTTATTTCACCGAATTTATTTCACCTTTACAGCGAGGCGATCCTGAGAGAACTAGAAGTCCTACCAGGATTTATTATTTAAACAAAATAAGATATGCAGATGACGGTGTTGATTGCAGACACGTAAAAGAAACTGCAGAAAGTCCGAGATTAAGTTATCACAGGAAAACTGGAAGAAAAGGCAAACCATTAATTGTAGGAAGATAGGCTATTAGGTCGCTAGCAAGAGGAACAGTAACATCTATGAATTGGAGATAACAAAATTAAGAATGTGACAATTGCAGGCGATATTGACGTCAACAGGGGCAGAGGGAAACAACGAATAATCAACTTAAGGATCTTGTTTAAATGGATGGAGACCTAGTGAGGAGACAGATAAATATTACTTAAAGCAAAGAAGAGTAGGAATTTGTGGAGAGTCCATGACCAGAAGGGACACAGCACATAAAAGAAAAATATACGTTTGAACATTATTGAATCTTGCGTCTCTTTCTTTCTCTTCATTTTACACACTTTTAAACAGTTTTTTTTTCAATTCAAACGGCCAGATCGAATTTTTAATTATTATATTGTATTTTTTCATTTTTTTAATAAGATGTTGTGCGACACGATGGAACGCAGCCCACAGCCATATCTTCGTTCACCCACAAAATGGACTGCGAATGATTTGATCTCTGTTGCGTTTATGATTGAGAAGACATTAAACTCTAGAAATGAGAGCTTCAAAGCGGCCATCGGCTGGCCGAAGTTAAACTAATTTTACTTGACCGGAAGCTAGTTTCGCCGATAATAGCTTCATGTATTTTGAGATATTTCCTGCAGTGAGTGCTATATAATATTTTAGTGACATTAAGACCTGGATTTGAATTCCACGATGGTCAAATTGCATGAAATGTTACTTCCTGATATTATCGGTTTGAAAAAGCGACCCGGAAACCATATCAATGGTTAACCCAATCCTTGTGATTGAAACTGGAATTGTTCAGAAGCCGTCAGTGGTTGCATGAAGTTACTAGTCATCGTGATCGAGGGTCGAAGCGTACTGGCTTTGTTTAAATTGCTGATCACATCAGGTTATTCACTCTCCGCTCAGCGTAGTTGCAGTATAAACCATATGTGGGCTCTGTGGGCGTTAAACAAACACAAATGTACCCGAGAAGGCGTCTGGGATAGGCACTAGCTATCGGCTCTGCAGATGAATGTGCCCGGAAATAGATGTATATTTTCAGTGACTTTCGTGCCA